TACTTCAATGATCGAGTGGTTTCACCTCTTCCCCTTCAGGGGGCGGGCGGAAGGCCAGTCTACCTCCAACGCCTTCCTACTTCATGCTTCCACCCACTTCTTCCGACCGACGTGGTGATCGTTTTCTTATTCATTGTTTTGCCGATCGGCGTGGGCCCGCGCCCCTCCCCTCCTTCACCCCCCCGTGGAGTGGATCTTGGCTGTATTTGGCGCCTGTTTCAAGCAGGTGGAGTCTCCCCCACAGGACGCCCTGTTACAAACAGTCGCGCTAAGCAGAGGTCCAGAGCCAGACCCCCCCCCTCGCCCCCCCCTTCCGCCCAATGTCGAAGCGCCGAATAGAACAACCGCTCACAATTGCGTCCGGCTGCAAGCCTTCTGGGGCTGTGCTGCGCTCCCGTTGCCGCCGCCGTCATCGCCGCTGCCGCCGCCGACGCTGCTGCTGCTGGCACCGCCGCCGTCGCGCGTCCCGCCCCCCCGCTGGCTCTCGCCAGCGCTGCCAGTGTCGACGAGGGCGCCGACGAGGAGGAGGAGGAGGAGGAGGAGGAGGAGGAGGAGGAGGAGGAGGAGGAGGAGGAGGTAGGAGGTAGGAGGAGGAGGAGGAGGAGGAGGAGGAGGAGGAGGAGGAGGAGGAGGAGGGGCAGGAGGAGGAGGAGGGGGAGGAGGAGGATGGAGATGGGGATGAGGGTGAGGATGGGTACCACTATTGCACGCGCTTGTGCACGAGAGCGCTGTCTTCTGGCCTGCGCTAGAGCCTGAGCGCGCGTGGAGCGCGTCATGGTGCTAGTTACGCGTGATGAGTGGAATGGAGGAGTATCCGTTTGATGAGGATGCTGATTCTGAGAGTGACGATTGTTCTTCACGCTTCGCGTATCCCCACCAGCCCATTCAGAAGCCCTGCCCACGAGAGCTGACGGGAAAAGGGACGAAGGGACACATCTAGGGAAACAAAGCCAGCAACCAGGATGAACCGAGAGATCTCTGGGAGCAAGGGGGTGGCCTTGGAAGGCCTCTTCGGGCCATCCCTGGGGGCCGCGTGGGGGCGAGGGGAAGAGGAGAAGGAAGAGGAGGAGGAGGAGGAGATCGATCAAAAGATGGGGGGTCCTCGATCTCGGCCCCTTCCCAGGAGCCCTCAGAATCGCCTCTTGGAGCTCTCCTGGGGCTCTTTGGGAAGGTATTGGAGCTCTCTTGGGGCTCTTTTTGGGGTCTTGGGGCCCTCTTGGGGCCCTCTTGGGGCTCTCTTGGGGCCCGCTGCTTGGGAGCCCTGGAAGACCGCTTGGGGCCATCTTGAAGGCCATCGATCAAAGGAGGAGATGGGATAACGTTCAGCCCCCCCCCAAAGAGGCCAAAATGGGGCCACAACCTGAGTAACACCAATGATGTTGGCTTCCTCGCCGAGGCCGTTTCGGACGCCCTGACACCTCGCGGACCCCCCCGAAAAAAGTGCAGGGGAGGGGTAAGGAGAAAGGGTAAACCCCTCCCCGTATGGGACGAGGGTTTTTTGAAGAGGGAATATTAATCTCGTTAGATCACTTGCGCCCAGAGGGCTGGTGGGATGTTGATGAAGATGATGACGACGTCGACGACGACGATGGTGATGATGATGATGCTGATGGTGATGCTTATGCTGCTGTTGGTGATGATGATCATGGTGGTGATGATGAGGATGATGCTGATGACGCTGATGCTGATGATGCTGATGCTGGTGATGATGACGGTGATGCTGATGACGATGACGATGGCGCTACTGATGATGATGGTGGTAGTTGCAGTGATGATGATGATGGCCAGGATGCGTATTATGACGAGGATGACGAGGAGTATTCTGATGATCACCATGCTGATGCTGCTGCTGATGATACTGATGGTGATGATGCTGCTGATGATGATGATGCCAATGATGCTGATGCTGATACTGATGATGCTGATGCTGCTGATGCAGATGCTGCTGATGACGATGCTGATGCTGAGGATGATGGTGATGCTGATGCTGTTGTTGATGATGATGATGATGATGCTGATGATGATGATGTTGATGATGATGATGATGATGATGATGATGATGCTGATGATGATGATGATGATGATGATGATGATGATGATGATGATGATGATGCTGATGAGGCTGATGATTATGATGTTGCTGCCGATGATGGTGATGATGCTGCTGCTGATGATTATGCTGATGGTGATTGTGATGGTGATGATGGTGATGATGGTGATGGTGCTGATGATGATGATGATGCTGCTGCGTCTGCTGCTGATGGGGAGGATGAGAACGGGACGGTCGACCAATCGGACTAAGACGATGGTGACGCTGCTGATGCTGCTGATGATGAGGATGCTGATGCTGCTGATGCTGATGATGAGGATTCTGAGGGTGATGATGATGCTGACGATGAGGACGCTGATTCTGACGATTCTGATGATGCTGATGATGATGATGCTGATGATGATGATGAGGATGGTGCGCATGATGTTGAAGATGCTGATGATGGTTATGATGATTATGACGGTGATTATGATGCTGATGCTGATGCTGACGCTGATGTTGATGCTGATTATGATGATGCTGATGATGCTGATGCTGCTGATGATGATGCTGATGATGATGAAGACGATGATGATGATGACGATGATGATGCTGATGATGTTTATGAGGATGATGATGCTGATGATGATGTTGAGGATGATGATGATGAGGATGATGATGATGCTGATGATGATGATGATGATGATGATGCTGATGCTGATGATGATGATGATGATGATGATGATGCTGATGCTGATGATGATGGTGATGCTGCTGATGATGATGATGATGATGATGATGATGATGATGATGATGATGATGATGATGATGATGATGATGATGATGATGATGATGATGATGATGATGATGATGATGATGGTGATGATGCTGCTGCTGATGATGATGATGATGATGATGATGATGATGGTGATGATGCTGATGATGATGATGATGCTGATGCTGATGCTGAGGAGGATGATGCTGTAGGAGGAGGAGCAGGACGAGGAGGAGGACGATGCGCAGGAAGAGGAGGACGATGAGCAGGCGGAGGAGCAGGGGGAGGAGGAGTAGGAGGAGGAGAAGGAGGAGGAGGAGGAGGAGGAGGAGGAGGAGGAGGAGGAGGAGGAGGTGTGAGCGAGTTGGGAAGGCGAGGGGGAAGCCAGGGAGAACGACTGAGGGGTCAGAGGGAGGAGGAGGGACGAGAGAGAACATGTGAGTGGCGATGCAGGGAGGAGGCGGAGAGCGGTGGTAAGGGGGAGAAGGACCTTCTCTAAGCATTCTGGCTCGAGAGTCGCACAAGTCGCAATCGGCAACCACTCTTCACCAGGGCAGCGAAGACGCCCGTGCGCGCAATGGGGACATCGGTCAGCGCGTGCTGCCGTTCGCAGATGGGGCCCGCGGCCGTGCCTGAGGCACCTCCTCCTCATCCTCGTCCTTTTTTCTCCTTTTCCTTGTGCATAGCTTCTCCCTGTCGCACCCCGAGGCCATTTTTTAGGGCGGGCCAGGCGTTCCGCCTGAGACTTCCACACCTTTTATGGCCCTGCAGCATACAACGTGGCAACCATTTCACATATGCAGGGCGGGCCGTTTTCAAAATGTGACTCTCGCCTTAGCGCCGCGCACTTCGTTTTTAAGAACTTACAAGAGTTTCACGGATTGAGGGCGGGTGGTTCTCAAATTGTGGTTCTCGCCTGGGCGCCGCGCATATTCGTTTCAGAAGAAGGCAAGAGTTTCACGGACTGAGGGCAGTTCCTTGTCAACATGTGGTTCTCGTCTTAGCGACGCGCACATTCGTTTCTAACATTTGCAAGAGTTTCGCGGATTCCCATGGTCAGCGTTCTAGACATGGTGTTTTTGGAAGGATTAGGATTCTATGGGTGCGTTGATTCTCGGTGTTGAAGTCCCAGGACTGGCGGTCTGGCACGATTCAGGATGGTCAAGACGCACCAGTCAGCTTGATCCATGGCGTTGGAATCCCGAGAACAATGCTTTGGCATGCTTCAGGGTCTTAACACAGTTGTCTTCCAACGAGGCAGTTCCCTCAGTGGACATGAAACGTTGTAGGGGCCTGTGAAGAGGGGTCTTGGAGGGAGGATTGATCCCAACATTGTTGATGACTCTTGGGTTTACACTGGTCTTCCTCCTCCTTCTCATTCTCCTCCTCCTCGCCCTCCTCCTCCTCCTCCTCCTCCTCCTCCTCCTCCTCCTCCTCCTCCCCCCTCTCGCCTCTCCTCCATTCCTCCCTCCCTGGAGAGGAGAATAAGGAGGAGGGGGAGGAGGTGGAGGAGGAGGAGTTTGTTTAGGAAGGTTTTGGCAGATTCGGGGTTTGGGGGAAGGGGATCCAGAGTATTTTGGAGGTCCCTCAACATCCTCTGCCCTGCTTGCTCCCTTGTCCTCCCTCCCTGCCTTCTGCCTCCCTCCTCCCTCCCTCCCTCTCCCTCCCTCCTTCCTGCCTCCGTCCCTCTCGTCCCCCATCCTCCTTGCTCCCAGTCCATCTCCGTCTTTCCTCATTCCTCTTCTCCCAAAGCTCTCGAGCACCTTGCTCTCCGCCCTCTGTCCTCTTCCTCCCCCCTTCCCCTTCCCTCATCCCTCCCTCCCTCCCTCCCTCCCCTCCTCCATCCTCCTCCCTCCTCATCCCTCCCTCCCCTCCTCCATCCTCCCTCCCTCCCTCCCTCCTTCCCGCCACTGCCCCCCTCCTCCATCCTCCTCCCTCGCGGGTCGCCTACCCTCCATCCCTCCCCCTCCTTCGTCGCCGCCGCCGCCGCAGCAGCCGCCGCCTCCGTCCTCGGTGCCGTCGTCGTGGTCGTCGTGGTCGTCGTGGTCGTCGTGGTCGTCGTGGTCGACGTGGTGGTGGTCGTCGTCGTCGTCGTCGTCGTTGTCGTCGTTGTCATCGTCGTCGTCGTCGTCGTCGTCGTCATCATTGCCGTAGCCGTCGCCGTAAAAGCGTCGCCGCCGCCCTTGCCCTTCGGAGGCGGAGGCGTCCCTGCCAGAGGCCCTGTGCCCAGCGCCAGCGTTCCGACTGGGGCCCGGCGGTGCCATCCCCGTCTACAACCTGGACCTCCACGGCGGGGGGATCTGTGGGCCTCCCAGATGGGGCGCGAGCAGACGGGGTCGGAGGATGGCGCCGCATCGCCGATGCATCGGCGTTGCCGCTCGATGTGGAGCCCGATTTCTCCACGCCGACGTCGCCGATGCATCGCCGATGCATCGGCAATGCATCGGTGATGCGGCTAGACCCTCCGACCCCATCTACTCGTCTCCTATTCGGGAAGCCGCTAGGGGAGGGGGGAAATCAGCCGTGTCGTGCAGCAGGGCTGGACCTACACGGTGTTTTTCGTTTTCGTTTTGTTTTCGTTTTTCCTCGTTTTGTCTTGAATTCGCCTTTGCTGCAAAACGACATCGAAACGAAAACGGCCCACGACAAAGCACCGTTTAGGGCCACCCCTGTCGTACAGTGTGGGCTTCGAGGTTTTCGAGGTTTTCGAGGTCTTCGGGCGCCTTTCCAGCCTTGGGCTTCTCACCAGCAGCCGCGTCTCGCAGAGGACTTTTTTTGGGGTGGTGCCCAGGTCGTCCCCGAGAGGCCGCCGGAGACCCGAGCCATCATGCGGTCGGGCCTGTCCCTCGACAGGGAGAGTACTCAAAAATAGTCAGAATAAAACCGTCTGGGGACTTTTTTTGGAGTATGTTTCGACCCTTTTGGAGCATCTCCTGAGGGCATTTTTTTCTTCTCGTCGAACATCCCCCTGCAGGGGGACACGCCCGACCTCAAGCGATCAACCGAGAGCCAGGCGACAAGGACGAACTGGGGACCGTCGACCGTCGACTGTCGACCGTCGACTGTCCGTTGCCATTCGGGTCGAAGCCCAGTGCGGCTGCATTGCACGGAGTCGCTAGCAGCAGACGGCGTTCAAATGTATACGCTCCAGCCGTGCCGCATGGGAAAATAGCATAAGTATCAAAGTTGGTATTTGATCATCCTGTCATTGCCAAGTGATTGGATCAGCGCTACTTCCATCCAGGGGGGGGACTACTCAAAAGTAGTCAAAACAAAATAGTATGGGGACTATTTGTTTTGCGTATTTTTTCGACCATTTTGGAGCATTTTTTCGAGGGCATGCTTTATTTTTCGTCGAACATCCCCCTCTAGGGGGACACGCCCGACCTAAAGCGATCACCCGAGAGCCAGGCGACAAGGACGAACGGGGGGGGGGGGGGATAGCGAAGTCCGCTGCATGCAGCTGGTGTCGGCCCCGCCGCCAGGCGCCGTCCCTCGACGCTGCGCGGGTGCCTCTGGCGGCGCCGGGGGGCGCCAGAGGGAGGAGCTACTCCAGATCTCGTAATAAAGGGAGGGGGGTCTCATTTCGGGGGGGTCTCTTCCAGGCTATCTTGGAGGGCCTGGGGGGGGTCTGGGGACGATGTTTTGGAGGGTCCTCCCACGGGGGAGGTCTGAAATGGCTTGTCTTGGAGGGTCCAGACCTCCTCCCTTTTATTACGAAATCTGGATTACCCTGCTCACCAGCCTGGCATGTCCCTCTCCCTATGCTGGGCACCTCCCCGTCACGATGCCAATCTTAGGGGTGCCCTTCTTTTTTGGGGGGCGCCTCCCCAGGATTGCCATCGCCTCTTGGCGTGCCAATCTCAGGGCTAGGGATGCGTTCGAGGCTGGCACCCTCCCTTTGACCGGCCCCCGGTCTTCGTGCGACCCGAGTCGGGCAGGCCTGGGATGAGGATGGATCGCTTCGGAGCGTGCCAGAGCGCTCAGGGCACGTTCCCGAGCGCTCCCACCCGATCTCTCGCCACCCACCAAACCACCCCAACCCAACCCGAAGGCTCAGATTTACCCTCGATTTCCAGTGGGGGGGGGGGTCGGGAAACATAGAAAACACACATGTGGAACCCTTACCCCCCCTAACCCGAAATTCGGGTCTTCGGGTTGGGTTGGGGTGGTCTGGTAGGTAGTCAATCTCAGAGACTTCCACTGCCTCCAACCGTTTTAGATTCATCCCGCCCTCGCCAGGCAGGAGGGTGAGGAGGGATCTGAGGAACAAAAACTGCATACACATGGTATTTCGGAGGCCCGCGCGGATTTCGTGGATCGGCGCTGGACCTACCTCATGAGCGTGCCAGGGGCAGCGCCGGAGGCGCCACCAGGGGGGCCAGCGCCGATCCAATAAATCTGCG